CAAGTTCGTGCGACACGACGGAGCTCGCGAGTTTGCAACCAACTCGCTTCAACTGTTCTACGAAGACGAAGGCATTGAACAGCAGACAACGGTGCCGTATGCACATCAAACAAACGGAACAGCAGAGCGTGCCATTAGGACTATTGTCACGATCGGCCGCAGCATGCTTCATCATGCCAAACTGGACAAGTGTTTCTGGGCCGAAGCAGCGATGACGGCCATCTACGTCAAGAATCGACTGCCGTCACCTAAAGTCGTGCACAAGACCCCGTTTGAGATCGTCTACAACTTGAAACCAAGCGTCAAGCACATGCGAACATTCGGGTGTCAGACATACATACTGACGCCTAAAGAGAATCGACTCAAGTGGGATCCAAAGGCTCGCGCTGGCATATTCGTGGGCTACGAAGAATTTTCGAAGGCATATCGTGTTTATGACATCGAGGCGGGGCAGGTGGTTATCAGCCGCGATGTCAACTTCGACGAGTCCACCTTTGGACTTCAACTGCCGATCACTGATGAAGATGTCGATGACCTGGACTTCGAATTGCTGGATCTTGATGACGAAGAGCTGCGTCAAATGGAGTACAAGCAAACAGGCAAGCGCAAGAACCGACTCAATGATGAAGATACAGCAGCTCCACGACCGCGTGCAGTGCGTCAACGACCAGGACTAGAAGAGTCAAGCGCGCCGGAAAACAACTCGTCACGACAAGAAGAAGACGAAGAAACGAAGGATTCTGGTGATTCAACACCGCCTGTGTTTTGGCGTGCGAGTGCAAATGCCGTTGAAGCAGCAGTGGACTTATCAGAGCCCTCAACATTTGAAGCAGCAGTAAGCGGCCCTGACCAAGTGCACTGGAGAAAAGCAATTCATGCAGAGCTCGAGTCAATGCGACTTCGCGGTGTGTTTCGTGCAGCCAAGCTGCCCAACGGACAACGCGCCATTGGCACAAAATGGGTGTTCAAGATCAAGCGCAAGGCGGATGGGTCAATCGAGAAGTACAAGGCACGACTTGTGGCCAAGGGTTTCCGCCAAAAGTATGGCATCGACTACACGGAGACGTTTTCGCCTGTGGTCAAGTATGTGACGCTGCGAATGGTGATCGCAATTTCCAAGCATTTTGGATGGCCCATCGACCAGCTTGATGTGGTGACAGCTTTCCTGTATGGCGTCATGAAGGAACAAGTGTTCTGCGTGATTCCTGAAGGCGTCGAACTTGACAGTACGTTCGACTGACTGAAATTGGTGAAGTCAATTTACGGCCTCAAGCAAGCGTCGCGAGTGTGGAACGAGACGTTCGACGAGTATGTGTGCTCCATCGGATTTCAAGTATCGGACTTCGACCCATGTCTCTACATCAAGACTTCGGACGGCCATTGCGTGTTTATACTGGTCTACGTGGACGACGTCTTGGTGACTGGAAGCTCGCTCGAGCTGATTGCACAAACCAAGAACGACCTGAAGACGCGGTTCGGAAATGACGGACAGCGGCAAGTGTGCGTTTGTTCTTGGGATCGAGCTTTTGGACGGTGAAGATGGCAGTGTGACACTATGTCAGCGTCGGTATGTCGATGATATCCTCAAGCGCTTTGGCATGGATGATTGCAAGGCAGTCGCAAGTCCAGTCGACATGAGCTCTCGACTTGTTTCAAGTGATGCAACTACCGAGGTCGATGCTCCTTTTCGCGAAGCTGTTGGTGCGTTGATGCACCTGACCACTGCAACGCGTCCGGACATTGCGTTTGCTGTGGGCTATGTGTCGCGGTTCATGGAAAATCCCCAAGAAGAACACTGGGTTGCAGTTAAGCGTATCTTTCGCTACCTACAAGGCACCAAGACGCATGGAATTTGCTACAAGCCAAGTGCAAGGATCGACTTCCGTGGATATTCGGATGCGGATTGGGCTGGTGATCTTACCGACCGCAAGTCAACATCGGGGTACACGTTCATGCTACTCGGTGCGCCAGTCAGTTGGGGCAGCAAGAAGCAGCCAAGTGTTTCGTTGTCCACGAGTGAAGCTGAATACATCGCACTCAGCTTGGCGATTCAAGAGGGCAAGTGGATTCATCGTCTGCTTTGTGAGATCGTGATGGCTGCCAATGAAGAAGGACCGGAACTCATGATTCATGAAGACAATCAGTCATGTATCAAGATGACGAAGAACCCAGTCAACCACGGCCGTGCCAAGCACATTGATATCAAGTACCATCACATCCGTGATGAGGTCAAGCGCGGTGAAGTGAAGCTCAAGTACTGTGAAACTGCGGTGATGTTAGCGGACATCATGACGAAGGGACTTCACGGGCCACGCCACAAGGAGATGACGGCGACTCTCGGGATTCGTGAGCATTCGGATTGAGGGGGCGTGTTGACGGTCATCGGTTTTCTACCAGTATTGGTAACCGTGACCGATCCAATCCGAACCGCCTGTTCAGCTTAGTATTTACGACGTAGTTCTTACGGTAATTACCATAGTTGATTAGACGCGTAGGATGATGAGACGCTTCACATGATTTATATGTACACCACATATAAATCATGTAGTAAGTAGTAAGCCCCGATAATCAATCACTTTCGAATCTTCCAACTATTGGGCAAGTGTTTTCTGCTCTACTCTCTTCGGTCTCTCCGCTCCGTTTGCTCCGCTTTCCTCGCTCCGATCTACAATGCAACACTTGCGAAGCTTCACCATCTTTACTTCCTTGCTCCTTCCGCTTCATTTCTTCATGAAGCAGTCGAGACGTCACGAGCTCCCAGCTAAGAGTGTCTGAGCGCGACTCCAAGCTGTGATCAAGAATTGATACGAGTCACTCAGGCTGCCGAGAAGTGTGATCACCAGATCGTCCTCGCAGACTGGAGCCCCCACCGCTTCTAGCTGTTCCGCCAGCGTCTTGAGCTTGTTGATGTGTTCGAGCACATCGTCGCCTTCTTCCATCATTGTCGTGAAGAAGCGACGGCGCAAGAACAGCTTGTTGGCAAGACTCTTCTTCTCGAAGTGGTCTTCCAACCTTGACCATGCGTCGCATGCACCACTTGCCGACCGGACCAACGGTAGCTAAGAATCTTCCATGGCTAGACAGATCACTGCCATCGCCTTTCTTGACTTCCTCTTGTACGTCGCTTGGTCCAACTGAGTCTCGCACTGTTCCGCCTTGATCTCACCGCTGAAGACCTCCCATAGGTCCCGTTCCTCCAGCACCATCTGCATCTTGAACTTCCAGGCGTGGAAGTTAGTTCCATCGAACTTGGAGATGCGGAGGGAGGAGGCGTCCATGGCAGCTAAGCTTGAATTGTTGGCGGTTTCAGAGTCTGACGAACTTGGGCTCATAACCTGATGAACTTTAGACTTCTTGGTCCGAGTGCAAAACGCAAAGTAAATATATATTTATAATAGGTACTTAGTTCGCAACTTTGAATACTACCTCTAAGCCTATTATTCGCAGTGACGTCATCCAGTGACGTCACCCACTGACGTCACCCACTGACGTCATCCAATGACGTCACTTCCTGACTTCGCCCTTACTGGTACATACCGGTACCCACCGGTATAGCGAAGCTTGGTCTTCCACTTGCTTCAACACTTTACGCAGCTTGACGAGGTGTCTTCTTCACAGCCGCTGTCTTTTCAACATCGACGAGCAAAGACGTGTCTGGGAATGTGGGCCGTCGACAGTGGTGCAACGCACCACATTTGCCACGACAAGACCAAGTTCGCAAGTTTGGCAGAGCGCAATGAGGGCGAACTCTTGGTGGCTGATGGCAACAAGGTGGCCATCAAGGGTGTGGGAACCATCATGGAAAAGGTGGTTCTGCCCAACGGTGAAGAGCGTGAGATAGAAATCAAGAACGCGCTATATGTTCCAAGTATGAGTGTTGTAACTTGAGCGCGAGGCGAAGAGAAAACGAAGCGGAGAGACCGGAGAGAACGAAGCAGAGAACACTTGCTCACTTGAGGGAGGATTCGAAAGTGATTGATTTATAGGTCTTAACTTCTGCCTACCCTAGACTGCATCCAATCACATGGTGCATCTAATCAACCTGATTTACACGCGTCCAATCATCCTACGCGTCTAATCATCTCTGAGGTAATTACCGATGTAAAACTATCTCGTAAGAACTACGCGCTAGGTTCGGATTGTACCGGTAACCCTCAATAGAGCCCCCTCAATCCGAACACGCACGGATGCCAAGCGCCGCCGTCAAGTCCTTGTGACGCGGTCCGTGAAGTCCCTTCGTCATGATGTCCGCCAACATCAACGTCGTCTCGCAGTATTCAAGCTTCACTTCGCCGCGCTTGACTTCATCACGGATGTGATGGTACTTGATGTCGATGTGTTTAGCGCGGCCGTGGTTGACCGGATTCTTCGTCATCTTGATGCACGACTGGTTGTCTTCACGGATGACGAGCTTGGGTCCTTCTTCGTTTGCAGCCGCCATGATCTCGCACAGCAAGCGATTGATCCACTTGCCTTCTTGGATTGCCAGGCTGAGCGCGATGTACTCCGCTTCGCTTGTAGACAGTGACACACTTGGCTGTTTCTTGCTGCCCCAACTCACCGGAGCACCCAATAGCATGAAGACGTAGCCGGACGTCGATTTGCGATCAGCAAGGTCACCGGCCCAGTCTGCATCTGAATAGCCACGAAAGTCGATCTTCGCACTTGGCTTGTAGCAGATTCCATGCATCTTGGTGCCTTGTAGGTAGCGGAAGATGCGCTTGACTGCAACCCAGTGTTCTTCTTGGGGTTTCTCCATGAACCGTGACACAAAGCTTACAGCATAGGCGATGTCCGGTCGCGTTGCAGTCGTCAGATGCATCAAAGCACCCACTGCTTCACGGAATGGGACATCCACCTTGCTTGCAGAGTTGCTTGGAACCAGTCGAGAGCTGACGTCCACCGGACTTGCCACAGCCTTGCACTCATCCATTCCAAAGCGCTTGAGGACATCGTCGACATAACGGCGCTGACACATAGTCACGCTGCCATCTTCACCGTCCAATAACTCGATCCCAAGAACAAAGGCACACTTGCCGCTGTCCGTCATCTCGAAGCGTGTCTTGAGGTCGTTCTTGGTGCGCGCAATCATCTCGAGCGAGCTTCCAGTCACCAAGACATCGTCCACGTAGACCAGCACAAAAACACAATGGCCTTCCGAAGTCATGATGTAGAGACATGGATCGAATCCCGACGCTTGAAAACCAATCGAGCGTATGAACTCGTCGAAGGTCTCGTTCCAAACACGCGAGGCTTGCTTGAGACCGTAGATCGCCTTGATCAGCTCGAGACAGTCGAAATCACCTTCCATCTTGACGCCTTCCGGAACAGCGCAGAACACCTTCTCCTTCATCACTCCTAACAGGAACGCAGTCACCACATCGAGCTGGTCGAGGGGCCATCCAAAGTGCTTGGTAATGGCGATGACCATTCGCAGCGTCACATACTTGACCACGGGCGAGAACGTCTCCGTGTAGTCGATGCCATACTTTTGGCGAAAACCCTTGGCCACAAGTCGTGCCTTGTATTTCTCGATCGACCCATCCGCCTTGCGCTTGATCTTGAAGACCCACTTTGTGCCAATGGCGCTTTGTCCGTTGGGTAACTTGGCCGCACGAAAGACACCGCGAAGCTTCATCGAATCGAGCTCCGCATCAATTGCCTTGCGCCAGTGTACTTGGTCCGGGCCAGACACTGCTTCTTCAAATGTCGATGGCTCCGAAAAATCGACCGCTGCTTCGACGGCGTTTGCACTCGCATGCCAAAACGCGGAGGAAGTCCGTGTGTCATGTTGTTCCTCCGACTTCCTTTCTTCATCTTCGTTGGCTCGACGTGAAGAGAGGTCATCCGGCGCACTTGACTCTTCCAATCCGGGTCGTTGGCGCACTGCTCGGGGCATGCTTGCGTCGTCATTGTCGTGACTGGGTTGGGCCTTGCGCTTTCCTGTTTGTTTGAAGTGTCTCGGACGCGGTTCTTCATCATCAAGATCGATCGATTCGAAGTCAGGCCATCAACATCGTCATCGGAAATCAGCATCGACATTCCAAAGGCCGACTCATCGAAGTTGACATCGCGACTTATCATCACCTGCCCCGCTTCGATGTCGTAAACTCGATACGCCTTGGACACTTCTTCGTAGCCCAAAAACAATCCAGCCCGGGCCTTGGGATCCCACTTGAGTCGTTTCTCCTTCGGGGTCAAGATGTATGCTTGGCACCCAAAAACGCGCATGTGCTTGACACTTGGCTTAGAATTGTAGACAATCTCGAACGGTGTCTTGTGTGGAATCTTGGGTGACGGCAAACGGTTCTTCACATAGACGGCCGTCATTGCCGCTTCAGCCCAGAAGCACTTGTCCAACTTGGCATGATGGAGCATGCTACGACCGATGGTGACGATAGTTCGAATCGCGCGTTCAGCAGTTCCATTGGCTTGATGTGCGTATGGCACCGTGGTTTGTTGCTCGATGCCTTCGACTTCGTAGAAATCTTGAAGCGAGTTCGTCGCAAACTCGCGGGCTCCATCGTGTCGCACAAATTTGACCTTCTTGTTGAACTGCGTCTGTATCATCGTGATGTACTTCTTGATGCACTCTTCGCTCTCTGACTTGGAATGCAGACAAAAACCCTTCATGCATCCGCTGGCTTCATCCACGATCAGCAGCAGATACTTGCTGCCACCCAGAGATTTTTCTTCCATGGGTCCGCAGATGTCGAAGTGGAGCATCTCGAAGGTGTTGTAGGTGCGCTTGTCACGGTTGCTCGGGAATGGTTTTTGGACCATCTTCCCTTCTTGGCATCCTCGACACACACTTGATCCATTCGGCTTGGAAGGGATGTGAGCGTCCTTGATCATGTGGCTTGTCACCATCCTGCGAAGCACGTCGACTGGAGCATGGCCCATTCGCGCATGTAGATCAACAGCGTTGCTGAGTGATGTCGCATTGGCCGATCGCTGCGTCGTGCGAAGCCAGTAGAGTCCGTCTACAAGATCCGCAGCTGCCACCACTTGATTGGAATCCTTGCGAGCGACGTACATCGTATCCCCGTCAAACACCACTTGGAAGTTGCCGTGCTTGTTAATCTGCGGCACCGAGAGCAGATTTTTGCTCATGCTGGGCACATAGAGCGCGTTCTTGATCTCGATCTCGCGCTCTTCCCCGTTTGGCAGAATCACCTTTTCCACGATGGTCCCCACACCTTTGATGGCCGCCTTGTTGCCATCAGCCACCAGGATCTCGCCATCATTGCCTTCGACCAAGCTTGCAAACTTGAACTTGTCGTGGCAGATGTGATGTGTTGCCCCGCTGTCAACGGCCCACATTCCTGGTCCATTCTTGTTCGTCGAAACTCCGCATTCGAACGAAACTGCAAACGCCACTCGATCGTAGCTGTTGCCTTCATCATAATGTCGCCACTGGACATTGTTTGCCCCGCGTCCACGACCATTGCCGCCGCGTTGGGCTCCTCGACTTTCATCCTTTTGCTTCGTCCAGCAACGCTCTGCCGTGTGCCCCACCTTGCCGCAGTATGTGCATTGGTAGGGCTTGCGCTCGGTACTGAATGCCTTTGTCGCATCTTCAGTCTTCACCGTTGTCGTTGCCGTTGTCATCTTCTCGCCTTGTCGCTTGATGTGCTCGTTAGTCAGCACCTTGACCACATCTTGCGTGCGCAGCTCTGCATTGCTCATCTCCAAGTTCAGAACCACGTTCTCGAAACTCTTCGGGAGACTGAGCAGCAAGCAGATCGCAATGTCTTCGTCTTCCATCTTGGCACCGATGCTGCTGAGCTTGGCGCCGATGTTCAAGACTTCGTTGCAATGGTGCAAGACGTTGGCACCTTCCGCCATCTTGATGCTGAACAGCTGGCGCTTGAGGTAGATGCGTCCCGCCTTCTGCGACCCACCATAGAGCATCTTCAACCGCAACCACGCTGTCCATGCTTCTTCACAGTTGTCGACCACATGGTGGTATTCGGCGTCCATGTGGAGCAACATCAACCCGAACGCGATGTTGCTCGCCTTGACGTACTCGTCGGAAGCTCGCGTGTCGGTGAAGGTTGGAGACGTTTCGCGGTTCACGACGTACCAGACTGACTTCGTCAGAAACACGCCGCGCATGTAGCGACACCAGGTTGAGTAGTTGTCCCCATCGAACTTATCGATGGAGACACTGGCCGAGGTGTTGTTGGACGACATGGCGCTTGGGCTCATAACCTGTTGTAACTTGAGCGTGAGGCGAAGAGAAAACGAAGCGGAGATACCGGAGAGAACGAAGCAGAGAACACTTGCTCACTTGAGGGAGGATTCGAAAGTGATTGATTTATAGGTCTTAACTTCTGCCTACCCTAGACTGCATCCAATCACATGGTGCATCTAATCAACCTGATTTACACGCGTCCAATCATCCTACGCGTCTAATCATCTCTGAGGTAATTACCGATGTAAAAACTATCTCGTAAGAACTACGCGCTAGGTTCGGATTGTACCGGTAACCCTCAATACGCCCCCTCAATCCGAACACGCACGGATGCCAAGCGCCGCCGTCAAGTCCTTGTGACGCGGTCCGTGAAGTCCCTTCGTCATGATGTCCGCCAACATCAACGTCGTCTCGCAGTATTCAAGCTTCACTTCGCCGCGCTTGACTTCATCACGGATGTGATGGTACTTGATGTCGATGTGTTTAGCGCGGCCGTGGTTGACCGGATTCTTCGTCATCTTGATGCACGACTGGTTGTCTTCACGGATGACGAGCTCGGGTCCTTCTTCGTTTGCAGCCGCCATGATCTCGCACAACAAGCGATTGATCCACTTGCCTTCTTGGATCGCCAGGCTGAGCGCGATGTACTCCGCTTCGCTTGTAGACAGTGACACACTTGGCTGTTTCTTGCTGCCCCAACTCACCGGAGCACCCAATAGCATGAAGACGTAGCCGGACGTCGATTTGCGATCAGCAAGGTCACCGGCCCAGTCTGCATCTGAATAGCCACGAAAGTCGATCTTCGCACTTGGCTTGTAGCAGATTCCATGCATCTTGGTGCCTTGTAGGTAGCGGAAGATGCGCTTGACTGCAACCCAGTGTTCTTCTTGGGGTTTCTCCATGAACCGTGACACAAAGCTTACAGCATAGGCGATGTCCGGTCGCGTTGCAGTCGTCAGATGCATCAAAGCACCCACTGCTTCACGGAATGGGACATCCACCTTGCTTGCAGAGTTGCTTGGAACCAGTCGAGAGCTGACGTCCACCGGACTTGCCACAGCCTTGCACTCATCCATTCCAAAGCGCTTGAGGACATCGTCGACATAACGGCGCTGACACATAGTCACGCTGCCATCTTCACCGTCCAATAACTCGATCCCAAGAACAAAGGCACACTTGCCGCTGTCCGTCATCTCGAAGCGTGTCTTGAGGTCGTTCTTGGTGCGCGCAATCATCTCGAGCGAGCTTCCAGTCACCAAGACATCGTCCACGTAGACCAGCACAAAAACACAATGGCCTTCCGAAGTCATGATGTAGAGACATGGATCGAATCCCGACGCTTGAAAACCAATCGAGCGTATGAACTCGTCGAAGGTCTCGTTCCAAACACGCGAGGCTTGCTTGAGACCGTAGATCGCCTTGATCAGCTCGAGACAGTCGAAATCACCTTCCATCTTGACGCCTTCCGGAACAGCGCAGAACACCTTCTCCTTCATCACTCCTAACAGGAACGCAGTCACCACATCGAGCTGGTCGAGGGGCCATCCAAAGTGCTTGGTAATGGCGATGACCATTCGCAGCGTCACATACTTGACCACGGGCGAGAACGTCTCCGTGTAGTCGATGCCATACTTTTGGCGAAAACCCTTGGCCACAAGTCGTGCCTTGTATTTCTCGATCGACCCATCCGCCTTGCGCTTGATCTTGAAGACCCACTTTGTGCCAATGGCGCTTTGTCCGTTGGGTAACTTGGCCGCACGAAAGACACCGCGAAGCTTCATCGAATCGAGCTCCGCATCAATTGCCTTGCGCCAGTGTACTTGGTCCGGGCCAGACACTGCTTCTTCAAATGTCGATGGCTCCGAAAAATCGACCGCTGCTTCGACGGCGTTTGCACTCGCATGCCAAAACGCGGAGGAAGTCCGTGTGTCATGTTGTTCCTCCGACTTCCTTTCTTCATCTTCGTTGGCTCGACGTGAAGAGAGGTCATCCGGCGCACTTGACTCTTCCAATCCGGGTCGTTGGCGCACTGCTCGGGGCATGCTTGCGTCGTCATTGTCGTGACTGGGTTGGGCCTTGCGCTTTCCTGTTTGTTTGAAGTGTCTCGGACGCGGTTCTTCATCATCAAGATCGATCGATTCGAAGTCCAGGCCATCAACATCGTCATCGGAAATCAGCATCGACATTCCAAAGGCCGACTCATCGAAGTTGACATCGCGACTTATCATCACCTGCCCCGCTTCGATGTCGTAAACTCGATACGCCTTGGACACTTCTTCGTAGCCCAAAAACAATCCAGCCCGGGCCTTGGGATCCCACTTGAGTCGTTTCTCCTTCGGGGTCAAGATGTATGCTTGGCACCCAAAAACGCGCATGTGCTTGACACTTGGCTTAGAATTGTAGACAATCTCGAACGGTGTCTTGTGTGGAATCTTGGGTGACGGCAAACGGTTCTTCACATAGACGGCCGTCATTGCCGCTTCAGCCCAGAAGCACTTGTCCAACTTGGCATGATGGAGCATGCTACGACCGATGGTGACGATAGTTCGAATCGCGCGTTCAGCAGTTCCATTGGCTTGATGTGCGTATGGCACCGTGGTTTGTTGCTCGATGCCTTCGACTTCGTAGAAATCTTGAAGCGAGTTCGTCGCAAACTCGCGGGCTCCATCGTGTCGCACAAATTTGACCTTCTTGTTGAACTGCGTCTGTATCATCGTGATGTACTTCTTGATGCACTCTTCGCTCTCTGACTTGGAATGCAGACAAAAACCCTTCATGCATCCGCTGGCTTCATCCACGATCAGCAGCAGATACTTGCTGCCACCCAGAGATTTTTCTTCCATGGGTCCGCAGATGTCGAAGTGGAGCATCTCGAAGGTGTTGTAGGTGCGCTTGTCACGGTTGCTCGGGAATGGTTTTTGGACCATCTTCCCTTCTTGGCATCCTCGACACACACTTGATCCATTCGGCTTGGAAGGGATGTGAGCGTCCTTGATCATGTGGCTTGTCACCATCCTGCGAAGCACGTCGACTGGAGCATGGCCCATTCGCGCATGTAGATCAACAGCGTTGCTGAGTGATGTCGCATTGGCCGATCGCTGCGTCGTGCGAAGCCAGTAGAGTCCGTCTACAAGATCCGCAGCTGCCACCACTTGGTTGGAATCCTTGCGAGCGACGTACATCGTATCCCCGTCAAACACCACTTGGAAGTTGCCGTGCTTGTTAATCTGCGGCACCGAGAGCAGATTTTTGCTCATGCTGGGCACATAGAGCGCGTTCTTGATCTCGATCTCGCGCTCTTCCCCGTTTGGCAGAATCACCTTTTCCACGATGGTCCCCACACCTTTGATGGCCGCCTTGTTGCCATCAGCCACCAGGATCTCGCCATCATTGCCTTCGACCAAGCTTGCAAACTTGAACTTGTCGTGGCAGATGTGATGTGTTGCCCCGCTGTCAACGGCCCACATTCCTGGTCCATTCTTGTTCGTCGAAACTCCGCATTCAAACGAAACTGCAAACGCCACTCGATCGTAGCTGTTGCCTTCATCATAATGTCGCCACTGGACATTGTTTGCCCCGCGTCCACGACCATTGCCGCCGCGTTGGGCTCCTCGACTTTCATCCTTTTGCTTCGTCCAGCAACGCTCTGCCGTGTGCCCCACCTTGCCGCAGTATGTGCATTGGTAGGGCTTGCGCTCGGTACTGAATGCTTTTGTCGCATCTTCAGTCTTCACCGTTGTCGTTGCCGTTGTCATCTTCTCGCCTTGTCGCTTGATGTGCTCGTTAGTCAGCACCTTGACCACATCTTGCGTGCGCAGCTCTGCATTGCTCATCTCCAAGTTCAGAACCACGTTCTCGAAATTCTTCGGGAGACTGAGCAGCAAGCAGATCGCAATGTCTTCGTCTTCCATCTTGGCACCGATGCTGCTGAGCTTGGCGCCGATGTTCAAGACTTCGTTGCAATGGTGCAAGACGTTGGCACCTTCCGCCATCTTGATGCTGAACAGCTGGCGCTTGAGGTAGATGCGTCCCGCCTTCTGCGACCCACCATAGAGCATCTTCAACCGCGACCACGCTGTCCATGCTTCTTCACAGTTGTCGACCACATGGTGGTAGTCGGCGTCCATGTGGAGCAACATCAACCCGAACGCGATGTTGCTCGTCTTGACGTACTCGTCGGAAGCTCGCGTGTCGGTGAAGGTTGGAGACGTTTCGCGGTTCACGACGTACCAGACTGACTTCGTCAGAAACACGCCGCGCATGTAGCGACACCAGGTTGAGTAGTTGTCCCCATCGAACTTATCGATGGAGACACTGGCCGAGGTGTTGTTGGACGACATGGCGCTTGGGCTCATAACCTGTTGTAACTTGAGCGCGAGGCGAAGAGAAAACGAAGCGGAGAGACCGGAGAGAACCAAGCAGAGAACACTTGCTCACTTGAGGGAGGATTCGAAAGTGATTGATTTATAGGTCTTAACTTCTGCCTACCCTAGACTGCATCCAATCACATGGTGCATCTAATCAACCTGATTTACACGCGTCCAATCATCCTACGCGTCTAATCATCTCTGAGGTAATTACCGATGTAAAAACTATCTCGTAAGAACTACGCGCTAGGTTCGGATTGTACCGGTAACCCTCAATAATGAGCAAGAACCTGCTCTCGGTGCCACAGATTAACAGCCATGGCAAGTTTCAAGTCGTGTTTGACGGGTCCAAGATGTATGTGACTCTCAAGAACTCACAGCAAGTGGTGGCGACAGCGGATCTCGTGGATGGACTCTACTGGCTTCGGACGACTCAACGATCAGCAAATGTGACAACAAGTGGAACCAGTTGTGCCGATCTACATGCGAGAATGGGTCATGCTCCAGTCGATGTACTTCGCAAGATGATCGCGACCAACATGATCAAGGATGTGCGAGTCCCTCTCAAGTCGGGTGGAGCAACTACATGTCGAGGATGTCAACAAGGGAAAATGGTCCAAAAACCATTTCCA